TGCCACTGACTCATTGCACAGGTTTGGGCAATTCACTTCATCCTCTTTCCTGAGCTTCCCACATGGACTGGCCAGCAAAGTACTGAGCACTCAGGCTTACTCCATGTGCTCAGTCAAGCAAGAGCCTGAGGGAGGAAGGGGAGGGGGGAGAAACAAGTGACAATGTAATTAAGGAATGTACTATAGTGTATTGCACTGGCAACCCCATTGCAGGCATTTCCTGACTTAGGGATGTTGCCAACTTTGCCACCTCTGCGTTTCCTTCACGTGGCTTCTAGCGTGTAATACAGATGTAGGAAACATCCATACTGGGATGGAGCTATTAAGGTACAGCCAGCACGCACGAGTCAGACTGATTGAGAGGTGTTTGAATCAGATCTTCCGGCTCTGGCCCCTCTTGTTTGCGTATGCACACAGAGGTGAAGGGCAGCTTGACTCTTCCCAGTCACCCTGGAAACCTGTCTGGGTGGAAGCTAAGGCTTTAAGTTACCTTTTGGCTTGCCGCTCATTGTTCAGTGTTTAAACACAGGTGTCTGTTGCTGTTGACACTGAGTGATAAGTGGAGACATTTTTTCCATCGGAAAGAATCTCAAGAATTTCCCCGTTCTCTTTTTATTCCTTTTTCCTTCTGCCTCTTTGTAATGAGGCTTTTATTGGAGGGTGTGGGGTAGCTGACACAAGGCAGAGGTGTGACAGTGCTCAAATGAGCCCTCAGACATTATTTTAAAATTAGATCCCCCTGCCTTCCCTTCTCACAAACACAGCCACTTCAGTCACAAGCTTTTTAAACGCTTACTCAAATTGAAGTCTTCCTCTCTTTCCGCACCCTCAACCATCTTTAATGGCCGGTCTTTAATGGCTTCTGCTCTATTCCCTGTCTCGTAAGCCAAGCCTCCCAAAAAGCAGACAGCAAACACCTCCAGGGCCTAGTTATTCCTCCCGAAGCAGTAGCTGTGGTCACTTCTGCGTTGCTAGGGCTGAATTTGGACCTTTGCAACCCAACTCAGACTTCACACCACCCACCCTCCTATCCCCCCAAAAGAGAAGAGTAAAATGCTCAGAGCTTAGGATGGTGGTTGGGAGAGAAATGTTCAAACCTAGGTATACAAACAATGCCTTCCTAAAAGAAAAAGGTAAGCATTAGCTCGGTGAGGGACCTCCTTTACTCTCTTTGCCCATCTCATGGCACTGACCTGTTGCAATAAAACAATCCAGCAACTCAGAGTCACTGGCCCCAGCGTGACATCACCACAAAGCGCAGGTGCCCTTGTCAGGGACAGATCACCAAGCGGTGGCCTGCCCCAGGCTTGAGGCACGTTGGCTGGGACACAGCATGGGGATGAAATGTCACGGGATGGCCACGGGCATGAATTTCTGGAGCTGTGTGGCAGAGAACCATGACTAGAAGGGCACAGCCGTGGGCTGTCCAGTCCAGGATGTGGATGGAGCTGGTGGCAATGGTGCTGGTGAGTGTCTGGAAGACCTCGAGAGAGCCCCTGGGAAGCGGGAAGATTGGGGAGAGAGGAAAACGTCTCTGGCTTTGCAGTGAAGCCAGCTGGCAGAGCTGGGTGGAGGATGCACAATGATGCTGCCTCTGCCACATCCTCTGCTCTTTTTCTGGCTCTGCCATGAAGTCAGGTGTGGTCTTGGTAGGTTGTAAAATCTCCCTCTGCCTCCTATTTTCCATCTGTAAAGTGGGCTGACACTAAGCTACGTTAGGCAGCTGGTGAGTGTGCTGTGAGGGGAAGGCAGGAGCTGTGCTCTGCGATGGCTGCTCCACAACCTCTGCAGGGCCAACCTGTATGAAACCTGTGCGGAGCTAAGCTGGCCGACGGGCCTGATGAGTGAGCTGTCTGCAAGAGAAAGCTCCTCTGGGGAGACGACAAAGGGGGCAATGATGCAGGTTTGGAGGAAGGATGGTGGGACCGCTTCTCCCTGGGCTGGGGGATGGTCCCTTTGTGCCTTGGCTCTGTACCCTGGGAAATATGGGTAGGGGAAGGGAAATCTGCTCAGTTAGGCTTCCCCAAGCTGTTCTGATGCTTTCCAGCATCAGCCGTTTTCCACAAGCTCTTTTTTTTTTTTTTAATGGTTAATTTGCGTTTTTTTTTTAAAGCGGACACTCAAGTCATTTCTTATGTGGTCTTGGTAGGTTGTAAAATCTCCCTCTGCCTCCTATTTTCCATCTGTAAAGTGGGCTGACACTAAGCTACGTTAGGCAGCTGGTGAGTGTGCTGTGAGGGGAAGGCAGGAGCTGTGCTCTGCGATGGCTGCTCCACAACCTCTGCAGGGCCAACCTGTATGAAACCTGTGCGGAGCTAAGCTGGCCGACGGGCCTGATGAGTGAGCTGTCTGCAAGAGAAAGCTCCTCTGGGGAGACGACAAAGGGGGCAATGATGCAGGTTTGGAGGAAGGATGGTGGGACCGCTTCTCCCTGGGCTGGGGGATGGTCCCTTTGTGCCTTGGCTCTGTACCCTGGGAAATATGGGTAGGGGAAGGGAAATCTGCTCAGTTAGGCTTCCCCAAGCTGTTCTGATGCTTTCCAGCATCAGCCGTTTTCCACAAGCTCTTTTTTTTTTTTTTAATGCTTAATTGCAGTTTATGTTTAAAGCGGACACTCAAGTCATTTCTTATATCATCCAAGCTCGTTAGTTTCTTTCCCAAGAGAAAATGGGCCTCACTTACTCTAACGCATCCTGGGGAGTGTCAGGAAGGCTTAGTGATCCCACACGAGCAGGCTCACACACGGTGCGCTGCCGCAGAGAGGCACAGCGAGCAGTGCAGGCATGACTGTGCATATGAACATCCAATCCACATGCACGGACCATCGCTCGAGTATGCATGTGCAGCAAACAGATGAACAAACGCTGTCAGGCACCCTCCCAGCTCTATGGACCATGTTGCATAATGATCAGGCTGAACGGACACACGTACACATGAACAGAGGTGTGCGTGTGCACGCACGAGCCGCTGAGATGCTCTTCCATACACTAGCACGTCCCTGCATGTGTAACAGCCACCCGCCGATGCTGCCCTCCCCCTACCCCTTTTCCCTTGTTCTTCTAGGACTTTGTTGGAAAGCACAAGTGCTGATGAGTCATGTCTAGCCTCCTTGTTTGTACCCATGCCTGAATGCATCTCTCCCTCTTGGGGCGACGGTGACGCTTCTGCGGGACAGAAGTAGCGCAAATAAGCAGGCACCAGCCCTGCCATACAATGGAAAATATGAATGTTCTAAAAAAAGCCCTGGCTCCACAGAAAGCCAGACCCGAGGTGACTAAAGCAAACACCCTGGGACACTAACTTACCTAACGCGTTCAATGGGGTTTGGCTCCTGCACAAGTTACTAATTGCTTGTCTCTTCAGCTCCCCTCAGTAATTAGCAGCTCCCGTCATCACTGTGCCGCGCTCTCCTAGGCATTGAGAAAGCACTAGGCAGCTGCAGGAGGGCCGATGCTACCCAAGGACCACTCTCTGCTAAATGCCCTCCAGCTCTCCCCGCAGGCTGACTATTTCCAATTTTGCACGGTCTGGGGCTCAGGCCACAGCGCGCACAGTAAAATCCACAGCCGAGGAGCGCTGGCCAGCCCCCTGCTCTGGACAGTTGCTCCCTAGCACTTGTTTCCTGCTCTGGAGAACAAAAGGGGAGTCAAGATCCAACAGCACCTCACTCCATTTTCCCCTCCTTTCTCAGGACACACTGCGGGCTGGCTACAGGGGGGGCCCCCCCCCCCAGCCTGTGGCTGTGCAGAGGCAGCTCCTCATCTCTTCCCCACCTCCTCGGCAAGCTGGCTCTCACCAGCGTTCATTGACAACGCTCTCACCCTCTCATATTTCCAGGTCAGGAGCTCAGGATTTTCCTTCAGGGCAGCAGCTGAACCGGCTTGGTGTGACGCAAGCTCAGACACCTGCACCGCACACCCCTTCCTCCCTGCACCTCCCTCCGGGGTCGCCTCACGCACAGGAGAGAGACGGGCTCCTGGTCCGGGCACAGCCATTCCCCAAGGGCAGCGGGGGTGGGCAACGGGGACGGCCGGGTCCCTC